ATGGACTATGTCTCTGGGCTCGCCTGGGAACGCCTCGGCATGCCCCCGGAGGAGCTGGAGGAAGTGTCTGGAGACAGGGAGGTCTGGGCATCTTTGCTTAGACTGCTGCCCCCGCGACCCTGCCCCGGATAAGCGGAAGAAAATGGATGGATGGATGGATGGGTTTGCTTTTAACAAGTATTTGATGAAACAAAATGTGTGTTTCAGTTTATTTGACAGCTTTGATTGGAGGTCCAATGCTGTCACTGCACTTTTGGTTGCAAAAAAGCAAGATGGTTCATGGTTCATGATATTTTGGCTTAATTTTTGCATAGTAGAGGGAAGTAGTGATGCCTTGTCCAGTGTGTATATGTCAGTGGCCATGACCAAAGCAAAAATACAGTGACAAACTTTTCAGATTGAATAAATGAGCAATGATGAGAACATACTGTAGACACCAAAATACTTTAACCTTCATTATAAGCAGGCTTGTAGATATAACACGGTGTATGTTTATTTTAGATATGCCAAAATAGTGACTTACTACCTTTTCATATCATTTCATCTATTTCCCAGTTATTAGCATGTATACCTGAGAAGAGTTCTTTTGCAATGGTTTTAATTTTCTTTTTCTCTGTAGGTATTTTCCCTACGAGGATGAAAACAATCACAAACTGGTGAGAGAGATAGGGAATGTGACCAAGGGACTGGAGATCACCTTCCAATTCTCTGTCAAACCAGAGTTTACAAAAGGTAAGGCCAGTGTTATACTTACAAAATCAACTGTGCTGTTAGGTTATGACATTATGAGAACCATGACCTGGAGCAGACTTGCACCCAGTATTAGTTCTGTAAGTTAGTTTGAGATGAAATAGAAAAAAAATTAGCTGAGCATATTTAACAAGTTTATTTTGCCATGAGGCTGAAAAAGGCAGAACCAAATTAACAGGACAAGACGGTTAAGAATAAACTGTTATTAATGGACTGTTAAAGATGCCACATGAACAGTATATGTCAGTTTTTGTCCAGAAGGCGATTCTTCCGTTCCAACTACAGCTGAGCTTCAAGACCAGAGACCAACAGAAAGTCACTCGCATCATTACAGAACAGCGACCAGTTACTTCCTGCAGGTAAAAAGTCTAGGGCTCGATACTGAACATGCACTACCTAGACAGTGTCTGCCTGTAGTAGAGCACTATAATGGTCATAGATAACATCACATCTCATGTGTATCGTTGATCTGATATCAAATACTGGTGCATTTGAGAAGTCTGAAAAGGTCTGTCAAATTGTTAAAGTTTTGAGTTATTTGACTGTGGAGAATGTGTTAATCCATCTCCTGTTTGTCTACAGTCAGTTTAAGGTCGGTAGCCTTAACATGGCGGTAATTGGCGTTCACTATGCTCAGCTCAGTGCCAGTTTAACCATGGAGGGTCGAGTGCTGGAAGCACAGGGGCAACTCAAAGCACAGCAAGACCTGCTTAAACAAATCAGGTATGAGTGCCTGACTTCTGAACTCCCTCTGACTTCTGATCCAGGCAGAGCATATGAGCGGAGTGGAACAGTGAGAGACTCCACCTCTCGCTCACAGAGCTGTTCGCCCGTTTTGTTGCCCCGCTCAAAGCCGCACCAGGCCACTCTACTCATTATTGCTCAGCACTCAACTCGGACTGCATCCTGTTCTGTTCAAATCACACCCACTCACTCCAAAAAAAGAGAAGAATTTCACTTATCTTAAACCGTAGCCTTATATCCCAAAGAACAATGACTACTTTTTTCTAAATAAAATGATTCAGGCCTGTGTAAAAAGGAATATAACACAGTCATATGTAAAATTCATTGAATCAGTGGGCCTAATAAAATAAACCTGTGGATGACTGTGCAAGACACGAATACATTCTGGGCCCAGCTTGGGCTTGCTTCAGTCTCGTGGTGTGAGCAGTAGGAGCAAAATTGGACATAGGACGACATCCTTTTTTGACTACACAGGATTATTACACTCACAACTCAAAATTAAGTTCATAAATGTAGAAATTATGACAATTACCAAATAATAAACCATATGACAGTTGAAACTGTTTTTGCTTTTAACTTTTGTTCCTACTTTATTTGAGATTGTTTTGAGAATTGCCTGTTTCTTAATTTGAGTTTGTCTTTACAGTTTTATTTCAGCTTAACTAGACATGTTTATTTTTATTCACGTGGTGTGTGTGACCGCTGTCTTTGGTTGCTCTTTGTGTTTATGGGAACTATGACTCAGTGTGTGCGTGTGTATATGTGTGCACCAGCCTCTCAGCCTACTCACATTGTGGGGGCTAATTTCCATCCACTGCTCGCCTTATTAACGTACCCTTTATTGTTGGTTCAGACTTTGGTTTAGGTGTTAAAATATTGTAACGTACCCTTTATTGTTGGTTCAGACTTCGGTTTAGGTGTTAAAATAGTTAGCACAGTCTTGGGTTTGATGGTAAAAAGTATTTTCCATTTGTGTTTTTCTTGTTGGTAACACACTTCCTGTTCCTGCCCCATAGTGAACACAGGCCAATCCAAAAAGAAGAGAGTATCTATGGCAACTGGATGGACACCATGACGACAATTTGTGATGACATCAGTACAGAATCCCAGGTAATCATACATATAATCGATCCATGAAGGCATTTAATCAATAATTTTAGGCCCTCTGTCCCTTATTGGGGTCTAGTGGCATTATTTAGTCAGTAAAAGGACTAAATTGATTTTGTATTAGAAATTTCATCAGTTTGATCTGACTGTGTTTGTCTGATGTAGAGAAGGATCTCAAACAGATTTCAATTTAATTTGGGGAAAGTTAGACAATGGGCAATGGAACAAGAAATTGGTAACAAGCATTTTGCCATCGGTCTTCACTAAATTTGGAACTGGAAGTTGATTTGGACAAAGGATTTATAGTTTTATCTCACCATTTTCCTGTAGGCACATTTGACATACTGTAAGATGCCATTCTTGTAATGCAGTGTGAAGTTGCACAAAGGATTATGGTACTCTCTAACACAGACAAAAATGTCTTATAAATTGTATACATTTTAAATAGGCATTCAGCACACTGTATGTGTAATGTAAACATTTTAGTCTCCTGTAATCTGAAAACCGTTAAACTAAGTGAAATATGGCATTTCATTTTGAGAAGGCACAATCTCATTGTGAGGTACATATTTAGTTCCTCCTCCTTCCCTCTGCAGCCTCTCTCTGATGAAGCAGCTAAGGTGGTGTACCAGATGAAAAGAGCCTGCAGTGTCACCAACAAGAACAACGGCAACGGCAACAAGATACCTGAGGTCCCAAAGAAGCCTGTGAGGAAGAAAAAGGCGCTTGTGGAAGCAATGTAGAAAAAAAAAAGTCATCCACACATACTAAGACTTGATTCATATCAGCACCTGTGGGACTAGAGGGAGGTTCACTGTATAGCTGACTGTGTAAGAATAGTATTACAAATAAAGTAAATGATTATTTGTCATGGATATATTCATGAATTAGGTTAAATCCAATTGTAAATGTAAAGGATTGCTTTATGTTTTTTATCTGGCATCCCATATGTCACAGCTGTTTTAATATGGCATCATAATGTGTCAGTTTGCCCAGTTTACACTGGGGAACATCTGAAATTGAGCCAGAGTGAATCAACACGTATCACTTAATTATCACACTTAATCCTTCATGCTTTGACCAAGTTGGAAATGAGATCCAGGACAATGGGAGCACAAACATATACCAGGACTGGGCCAGATTTCCCTCATGTGTCACCCTCTGTGACATCACAGCAGAGAAATCAGCCAAAGTCATTTATTTTATTTACTTAGATTCCTGTTTTAGAGGAAACTATTCACAAAAGCAAACTTGTATTTTTTTATGTCAAATAAAAATGTTAAATTGTTCTTTCCTATATATTGATCTCTATCTTGATATACTGACATTTATAAACCAACTACAGTTTTGTACACAATTACATTTCAGCACTACCTATTTGTATTCTAAAATTTAATCTTCTGTTGGAAATGCCATCTGGGCCACAAGCATTGCCATAAAGATCAGAGAGACCAATTCCAAACCAACATCTAATGCTGACTTTTTGTAGCTGCAGGTGAAATGACAGATAGCTGAATAAAAATGATGGGTTTTATTTGAATTCCAGTTTTTTTTTTTTGATTAACTAGATGGTGGCCTCTTGGGTTAAATAGGAAAGTCTGGTGAGGACTAGATGGTGTAGAATTAATGGTATATCTCACCTACACACCAGTAGTATCACCAGAAGCAAGTGCGGGTTCGGTATCTTGCTAAAGGATATGTGGGCTGAAGAAGCTAGGAAATGACCCACCAACTTTTTGGTTAGGAGATGATCCACTCTACCTCCTGAGCCACAGCCGCCCCATTCCTTCACATCATTCCTTAATTAAGTAGTATTACAGTGATAGAAAACAGATATGAAATGAGATATACAGAAGAACCTTTGGATTATTTGCTATATAAGACTGAAGACAGATGAGTCTTAAACATGCACACCTCCCCAATGTTTATGCTTTTCACAGGTGCATCCTGCTTCTGTCAGCCCACAAAACTTTGAGGCTTTTTTGGCACAGACAGATGGAAGCTTAGAATAACAAGGCACATCATCCCAACACTTGTTTCACAAAAGCTGTAAAAGTAGTTTTTAATGTGATTTACCTCCATAATTCATTTGTAGTCAATGCTGCTTCCACCAATGGTTGTCAGATGTACTACAGCGCCAACAGTTGAGGGTGTGCAGTCACTCCACAGCCAAATACCTTCCTAAAGGTCAAAACAGAATCAAAAACCCTCTGAAAATATAATTCATATTTAAATTATGCAGTGAGAAGTAATATACCTTTTGGCAGTCACGGCCTCCGAACCATGTTTTTCCAAACACCTTTGCTATGAGTTTCTGGATGCCATGCTAATCATCAGCGCTGTACACAGACACAAGGCAGTGATAGAGATACTGAAAATGATTATTTGTGTAATGAAACACTGAAATGTGAGAAAAAGCAGAGGCAGCGGGGGAGAGGAAAGAAGACTCAGCTAAACGTGCTTCAGAACTAATTGGTGTGTCACCCTGTGGCTTTGGCCTTCCTGTGTTGAGACACTGAAGACCAGTAATTATGTGCACTGTGTTATCATTTGCTGCAAAAATAGACCACAGAGTTAAGTGTGTAGAACTTTCTCTGTGCAAAGTATAAGCTGGGTATAATAAACAAAGTGTTTATTCAGATCATGGGAAAAAAAACAGCTCAAATCACTGAGAAATTCAACAGCACCTTATATTTAAATGTTCTTTAATAATGAAATACTGTAACACTTTAGTTTCTGTAATAATTTACAACAGGAAATTCAGTTTGGTGGTTGTGCTGCCCAGATTTTTTTTTTAACTCATTATAATTAGAAAATGAGAAAACATTGTTAATGAACATACACTATCTGCAAATCCTGCTGGGGAACAAGAGGCAGCTTGTCGTGTAGTTTATGGGCAAGTGTTGTTAGTGGTACTGAAGATGAAAAAGGAAAGGAGTGACAGTTTGTTTTGTTACAAGAAACTAATAGTGTCCAGATGAACTGATGCAAAGATAAGGGATGCCTTCATAGAACCAGAAATGATAAAACATCATATGTGTCGTTGTTCACACTGAGCCATGACACCAAATCCTTCTTTTCTTCAAGTATTTTGTTTTGTCAGATTAGACAGCTATTCTTATATGTATTAAAGCATTTGTTTGCTTTAAGTGACTTTCTGTGCACGTGTGGACAGAATTCATTTAATTACATGGCGTCTTTTATCATGCATTTATGTCCTGTTGTGAAAATTCCATCCAGAATCTGGACCTGATGTTCTGATAGCAGTAGATAAATATAAAGTTACTTTTGAGGAACTAAAAAAAGGTCCAGTGTGGGTAATGTTATCAACAATCAAACAAAGGTACTTCCTTGTTCCTTGTCTACGTGCACAGAAGACGTGTGTGGTGACACAGTCATAGCTCTGTGCAAAAGAGGCAATGATAATTTACATGCAACACTTTAACAGCCTCATTCTTAGCTTCCTTTAACAACTTCAGGGTTATTTGTTAACAGACTCCAGTCAGCCTACCTACAAGGAAATCTGAAAAAAAAAAAACTGAAAAAAACCCCCCACAATACAACAGTATAAGATAACAAGACAAAACAGCTTCTTCCCTGAGGCTGTGACAGTTAACAAATACTGCTATTAAAAGAAACGCTGCTAACTCCTGACCTACTGTTATTTATAGAAGAGCATATTTCTAAATATTTTCTTGTATTAGTAGTTTTTACATATTTAAATGCTTTTATTGATGTGTTTTATATGCATGTGTGTATCTTGTTAGGTATGTTCTTTATTACTGGAGAGTCTAATTTCATTCC